GCTAATGCCCGCTCTCTTCTGGGCCCTCTTGGGATAATGGATTCAGATATGCAGAAAGAATGCAAAAATCCATCTCTTATCCGGGATGAGTGATTTGCACAATAGTGCCCGTGAGTGTTTGTTTAACACTGCGGACAGCAAGAACCCTACTAAGTTGTAGCACGCTGAGAAAGGGAAAGCAAGAAGAGAGAAGAAAATAGCCCGGCTGCTTTAAAACCATGTCCACCGAGCTGTGTGCATTTTTTGGCTTAGTTAGCTGTTTGCCTGTTTTTTGTGGGAAACCAGGAAGGACACGTGGAGCTTTTCCCAGGCTTTAGAGTGTTATTCTCTTGCTTCCAGCACTGAGTTTTTGTATGCGTTAATTGACAGTAACTCATGTAGAAAATACAGTGCCAAGAGGATATTTACCTTGCAAACGTTTCATTTGCTGCCCCCCTCTCCTTTCCTGTGACTTCTTCAAGCGATGACAGACTCGGAGCGCTGCATGCACTTGGAAGAAGCATCACCCCTGTCAACCCCGGACACAAGCCCCTTGCCTGCCCAGTGTGTACCAGCAACCTGACCGCACTTTCTTGGCAAGGAGCAGCCACCTCCTCGCTTCCCTGAGGTAAAAAGAGGGCTCAGCCTAGAATGTGAAGCATAAAAATGGAAAGAATCAGTTAGATTATAACATGACAAATTGTTGTTTTTCTAGCTGAAGGAAAACCCACCCCATGTTTGATTCCGAGTGACACTGCTCGGTTTGGCACCAGCAGCTTCTCCGCTGGAGACATGAGTGACTTCTCTTTGAGCAAGCATCAGAATCATCTAGGCTGGCATTACAGTTCGTCACACTCCTTGCTTTCTCCAGGCAAAGTGGAAGGAAAAATCTGCATTTTGCATTGCTGCACATGCCGCCGAAGATCTCAAAGTGCATGACTTCTTAACTTAGCCCACACAGCAAATCTGTATCGGAGTCGGGGTCAGAAATCCTGACTCTCTCTCCTTTCCCCCAGGCGGGACGCCTTTTCCCCAAGGTTAGCTATGATACTGCCATCAGGGGCGCGCTTCACTGACACTACCTCGCCATACATACCAGTTTTAGACTCCCTGTTTTTCACCCATAGCTACGGAAAACCGTCTGCAGAAGAGGCTGCTAGAAAGGAAGTGGAAGATTGCTGAAGTCTATTCTAATCCACGGTGTCTATATTTATGCAGCCCTTGTCACAGCAGAGCAGAGAAAATGTCACTGGAACAGTTTTATTTTTGCCAGCAGGCAAGAGGTTTAAAAAGAGCCAGTATAACCTCTATTTGGTGATGTGTTTGTACAAATGTTTAACTTGCTGTTTCATTTTAAAATCATCTTTAATGTTGATTTATATTCCTGGCAGTGAAGTCAGGAGGTTGGCAATCCCATTCCATTTCAGTCTGTGCTCTGCAGATCAAAGAGAAGAAGCCTCACAGCACTCACATTTTATCCTCCTGAATGTTTTCAAGTTCTCACTCTGATATTCACGGGCAGATTATGCAACTACTAGATTTATACTTCTAAAGGCCAAATAGTAAAGCTCGAAATGTTGTATCATTTAGAGGAAGTATTTGGAAATAACTGAAACAAGGAACAACACATGAACGCTTGACACCAGCCACGCTGCTTTCCTTGAGATGTCGTCTTGCTCCAGTCTTTTGTAGGGTCAGCCATTTGTTTTCGTGCCAAAGTAACCGCATGTTTTTCTGCATTCTAAGTCTTGCTTTCCACCTAAGTATGTGAAGCTGACGTTTTTATTGCTAAATATCGAAGGACTTGAATTCCTTCATTAACAGTTTACCTAGTTGGTGGGAGAGGGGGAGGTAAGCTGCGGACCTTCTGTGAGCTCTCAAGAGGACGGTAACTTACAGCGCATGATTGAACTGGCCAGAAGAGCATGAGAGCTTGCCTTGGTGCCCCCGCGAGCCTCCCCGCCCGCTGCTTTTGCTCAGTGCCTCAGCAATACCGACACGTTCAGTTGCCCAACGCCTTGGGGACTTGTGATGCCATTGGCAGTACCCCCTTTGCTGACACAAAAGGGCACACGGGTGGAGGTTAGCAGGTGCGCCGGACTGCCGGGGGGGGCACGGCCCGGATCTGCTGCGGCCGGGGGGCTGCCAGAGCTGGACACGGCCCGCTCCGCTCCGCCCAGGCCCT